CCCCCCCCGGTCCCCCCATGTCAAAAAAAGCCCGGTCTACGTAGGGTTAAGTCATAGAGCTTTAGTAGCCTGGGTGCGATCCTCCGAAGAGAAGAGCGAGAGGTCTTCCTAGGGTGACATGGAGAAGAACAGTAGAGAAGGAGGTGAGGAGGCACAGGTTCTACCAGGCTCGGAAGGGGACTGAAGTGAAGAAGAAGTGCGATCCTCCATAGTTACCAACGGCTCCGTATTGTCGCTAACTACCATGGACTACCCAGGCCTAGAGCCAGGACAGAGCCTCGGAGAACGTGATCTTTTTGTGACAGGCGAAAATCAATGCGCGCGCGGATGTCATCCATAACATTAAGTCGGTGTGGCCTAAGGGCAGATTACAGTATCTCAATATGCTACCGCTTTCACACAGAAGAGAGATTGCTGACATTATGCTTTTTGTGAAGTCCTTGGCGAATGTATATAATTTAGAGATGCAGAACTATGTATCATTCTCCACTAGACTAACTAGAGGTAGTAGGGCTCACATGCTGATTCCCAGTCGTTGCAAAGCTTCCACATTTGCAATGTCGTACATCCCCCGACTAGTGGCCGAATGGAATAAACTAGAAACGCCAGTTAGGGTCTTGGGGGTTGCAGCGTCAAGTCACTCTGACATTTTGCAATTCAAACGGTGTCAAGTTTCAGGACATCTTTGACACACAGGCAAACAAACAAACAAACAAACAAATAGGTTTGTCTAAAATACTGGTGCAGTCTGACCAAAGTGAGATCATGCCTACATTCTGATACGAATCGTAACGTGTAAAGAATTTGAGTTAAATTTGACTGCCAACCATGCCCCGAACTACATGGGAAGATCAAGCAGACATTCATTAGCCAGCCAGCCGTGGCTAAACCTGCCGTCCAAACCTGAAACAGAGACGGGGGGCGCCATAGACTTTCCGCAACCTATGATCCACTGCTCACTGTGTCACTTGTGTTATCTGCGGTGGATTGCTCTGTTGAGGGATGGTTGTAATGCCCTGATGTAGATGGCCTCTTTAATCCCTCGTGCAAAGAAGTCCGGTTCTGAGTCCAAGATTCTTACTTTGTTCAGTGAGACTGAATGTTTTACAAGCTTTTCTTTTTTTTTTTCTTTCAGAATGCGGCCCTGTTGGACTCGGCGGATCCGGATGTGACGTCATGCTTCCATCAGACGGTCCTGGTGTGGGTTCCGTGTGTACTCCTGTGGACAGGCGCGCCTCTCTACCTCCGCCGCCTGCGCACACACAGCAAAGTAGTCCGCAGCGACATGTCCCGCATCCACCTGGCAAAAATAGTACGTCTGCATCTATCCTTTTTTTTGTTTGTTTGTTTGTTTCGCATAACAGGTAAACCGCCTTTAGGCGTAACACACCAGTTTTGTACATGTATGTACATGTACAAGCTGCGTAAGACCTGGATGTAAGTTTTGAACCACTCACACCGGGAAGGTCCCCTACTCTTTTCGATAAGTGCGGTGGGTTCTGTGCGTGGGTGCTCTCCCCAACGAGGAACGTCCCTAACCGAAGCTACTACTCATTTCCACCTGAGCGAAGTGAGGAAAGTCGTGTAAAGTGCCTTTCCCAAGGGCACAAGATCAGTGACATGGGTAGGAACCCGCGACCTCTTGGGTGTGAGCCGAACGCGCTACCGACTGCGCCAAATAACCCTACGAACAATGCGACAAGGATTTCTATTTGACGTGGCACCTTGCGCAACCGTGCGAGTGACGTGCGTTGACGACACTCCTTTTCCCACGTTTTCAGAAAAAACGTAGCAGACGTGGCCTCCCAAAAAACATACGGACAACAAGAGTTCCGAGATCTCATACCTCCATGAAATATGGGCTTGACATGTAAATGTTAATTTCTTCTTTAATTATGCAAATTACCTCCACATTAACATAATAAATGCATCGTGATGTTAACTTTTGATTAACTTACACATGTACCAAGTATGAAATTCCCATCATTTACCACTAAGGAGTCATAGAATTTTCGCATTTATTATGCAAATTAGGTCATCATTTGCATAATTGGTATCTGGTGATGTTCCATCTGCCATAGATTACATACTAGTACATTACATGTATGAAAGTACTATAATGCAAAACACTGTAATTATAGAATTTCCTCATTAATTATGCAAATTAAGTCCTCATTTGCATAATTTGCAATTAATTATGTACATCTCTCTCTCAGCTACCTACCTACCAAAAATGATGAAAATACATTGTTTCTATCTGGACTTATTGGCTTTTAAAGATTTCGCCCGAAAGTCCCCTGCAGTTCCAGAACAAGCTTCTAGGGGGACCAAACCCACACCACTTATTCCTGACAGGACAATCTATTTGCCACCAAAAAATCAAGACCATAGCATATTCAGGACAAAAGATACAAAAACCGGAAGTTCTGCTGCAGTACCAAGGTCATCCACCAGGAGGCGTATATTTGACCTTGACCTTCGTCTTCCTAAGACCTATCAGCATACCAAATATCATCACAATCCATAAAGGCGTTATGAAGTTATGCTGGCCGCAAATGTGCGGAGACACAAACACACAGACAGACAGACAGACAGACAGACGCAACAAAAACAATACCTACATTTTCATGGAGGTAATAACACAGGTTGTTTGTTTTCAAACACACAGCCATACAGTGGCACTGCCACATTTGCCCTGAAATAGGTCACCTATTCCCCTGAGGGAGCGCGCTGCCTCGCTGGGCATAGCCACATCTGTTACCCTGCCTCGCAAGTATCACGTCCACCGAGGCTCTGGCCTGGCTCTAGGCCCGGGCAGTCCATGGTAGTTAGCCAGAATACAGAGCCGAGCACCCATGCAGGCTACCGAAGCTCTACGACTTAAGAACTGAGTACATACGTACAGTGCCGATTCATAAATTTCGAAAAAGCCAGCATGTGCCGGTTTGTTGTATACGTCGCTAAGTACTGCCGCAAATTCACAATACCAGCTTTGTATTCCTGTGCATGTGGTTTAGTGCCATTTTTATTTTTGGACGGATTTTTTCGCTCTCGCGCACTAGTTTGGGGGTCTTCGGAGGATGTCATCCAAAAAATTAAGGCGGTGTGGCCTAACCTACCCCTAACTCTCCTCTTCCGTCCCTGTCAGACCCTGACGGCGCTCATGTTGCTGCTGACGCTGGTTGACCTCCTGACGGCCGTGAGTGAGCTGACGTCACACGGGGACATTCCTGCCGTGAGGATCGTCAGACCGCTACACCTGGCTCTCACAATGGTGAGTTCCACTCCAAAACATGTTTAAAGTTAAAATTTTTGATCCAACACAAAGAAATCTCTCACCTAGAGCTTTTGGCCAGTCACTCTGGTCTTCCTCAGTAGACTGACCCAGTGAAGCTTGTCACGTGGCTTCTTTGAAGTGTGACGTCAACACTGGGTCAAAGGTATCTGGTAGACGATGTCGGCCCCCGTCGCTGTTCAATGAAGGTTGATGGACCCTGATGTATATGGCTTCCTTCACCCCTCTCAAGAAATGGTCTTGTTCAGTGTCCAAAACCCTTACAGTGTCAAGTGAAACAAAGTGTCCGGGTGACTCTATGTGGATATGCTGTCATACCACTGAACTGAAAGAGCTTGGCCGTGTACATGTATGTTATTAAAAGCTCTAGGTGAGAGATTCCTTTGTGTTAAATCAAAAGTTTTAACTTTAAACATGTAAACACACACACACACATAAAGTTACACATACAAAGACACACACACCCCAACACAGTGACACACAAACACGCAAACACACACAGACACACACACACAGACACACGCACACGCACACAGACACACACACACACAGACACACGCACACACACACAGACACACACACACACAGACACAACACGCACACACACATACAGACACACACATACACACACAAACACGCACAAACACAAACACACACACACATACACACAGACACATACACACACAAACACGCACAAACACAAACACACACATACACACAAACAAACAAACACACGAAAACACAACGTTCTTTGTGAAGGTAACAATACTTATGTGGCTAAGTGTGTTGATGATGTTTACCCCGGTGCAGGCCCTGGCCGGGACCCTGCTGCAGTATGAAGCGGAGAGAGGCGTGCCGTCCTCCGGGCTTCTCTTCACGTTCTGGCTGCTGACCAGTCTGTGTGGAACCGTCACGGCTCGCTCACAGATCCGACAGGCAGTCATGCAGGTACGTATTCCAAATGTTTTGTATATAAATGTGTATATAGAGGAACTTAAGTGCACTGCAAGGATTACACAACAAGTTAAAGGCCGTTATAAAGGGTTACACAATGCAATTTGCAATAATATTTACATACGTTGGACCATACAGTTATATATAAATTATCAGAACTACATTACACAATAATAGGGTTGTTGTTGGCGTCCTTCCGTCTCGGGACACGATGGATTGCATACGATGTTACTAACATTGGTTTCCTAGTATGTACATACATACGTAATTACCGAGGTAGTGGTATTGAGGCCACAGCAGGTAAATTTTATGGATGGCATCCTCCGCAGACTCCAAATCTAATGCGAGCGACGGAACAAAACAAGGCGGGCTGGAAAAAACAAGGTTCCTACATTTTCAAATTTTGACTCAATCATGGTACAAATGGTTTTGATTCAGTGGGAACATCATATATACACAGTCAGCATCACGAATCACTTCATCAAAGATCAAAGAAAGAAACAAAACTTAAATCAGAGTCTTTTCTTGTCTCCTCTCTTCATAGTTATCTGCCATCCACCTTCCGGCATGGCAACAGACGTTTTCGGCATGTTGACCACTGTCAGAAGGCAACAATTTTTTTTTTCAAAATCAGGCGAAAATTAATGCGCGCGCTGATGTCACCCATAAAAATTACTTGCTGTTGCCTGACGAAGTTTACCGTATATTGTCACACGCATGAAATGTACTGTGTTAAACAGAATCTGACTTCTGTTCTACAGGAGTCTGTGGAGGACCAGTTCAGGTCCATGATGTTCTGGCTGTACTTCATCATGACCGTGATGCAGCTGATCCTGTCTACTGTCAGCGATGTCACCGGCTTCACCAGGGATCAGGTAACAACGGGACATGTATTGTTTATTTGTTTGTTTATTTATTTATCCAGGAAATACATATCGCCTTGTGGCATTTTTCAATGGTTCCTGGGGGAAAACCCCAAACAAAATCCATTAACAAAGTGAACTCAAGATTAACAAAGGTATCAAATAAAGTTACACAGATTACAAATTAATACAAAATCAAAGTAACTTAAACAACATGAGAGAAACAATATTGTACCCTTAACATCATATAACGTAAAACCAAGGTAGAACATAATACAATGAAATCAGGATTTATAAACAAGAGTTCCGAGATCTCATACCTCCATGAAATATAGTCTTGATATGTAAATGTAAATTTATTTCTTAATTATGCAAATGACCTCTACATTAACATAATATTTGGATCATGATGTTAACTTTTGATTAACTTACACATGTCCCAAGTATGAAATTCCCATCATTTACCACTAAAGAGTCATATGATTTTAGATAGTTATGCAAATTAGGTCCGTATTTGCATAGTTGGTATCTGTTGATATTCCACCTGCCATAGATTAGAAACATTACATGCATCAAAGTGCCATGATGTAAAACACTGGAATTACAGAATTTCCTCATTGATTCTAACATCTTTGTTCCAGACTCGAAGCCCAGAAGAGTCGAGCTCCTTCTTATCAAGAATAACTTTCTGGTGGTTCACTCCGTAAGTTCGTGTCTTTTTACACTTAATGCTTCTATAAATTGTGTTTATTGACTTCGTTCATTTTACATATTAGAATACATGGCAGCTTCATTTGCATACATTGATACAAAGAGGCTGAATTGCTGAGTTGGTCACCATGTATACATGGATGTGTTTAAGTCAGAAATAACAGAGCTGTTACAGTAGTTTGGTGGGCTTGGTCATTACCATGCAAAGGTAAACATTATGCATTCGCTTTGTAAATGTTTTCCAATTCGAATTTCTTTCATTTTTTTGTAGTCTTCTGATGTTGGGATACAAACGTCCACTGAAGTCCACGGATCTCTACCCGCTGAAGGAGGAGGACACATCTCAACAACTCGTCCCGAAGTTCTATCATCTGTGGCGAAAGGATCTGTCAAGGTACTTTCGGCTATATTGAGGTTTATTGAGGAAAAAAAAAAACTCTCATTTAACTGCCCACCCAAGGGTGGCAGCTATTCTTCCAGGAGGGAGTACATAGAACATAACAATACATCAACATACATATACATTTGTATTACATAGTCATTTAAAAGAAACAAATGTGTAACATCGTATGTGCTTTACTTATTCATGTCCCTCATGTGTTTTAGTAGGCCTTGTTTGAACTTCTCATGTGATGCCACTGTTTGCAGCCCATGTGGTAGAGAGTTCCATGCTGCAGTAGTTCTGTATGTGAAGGCTTTTTTAGTGCTGTTTGTTTTTGGTTTGTCTAGTTTGAAGGTGTTCCGAGTAGCATATCTGGTTCTGTAAGTGTGTTGATGTGACACCGGGCACAGAGTATGGTTGGTTGTTTGGAAGACAGGATTTTTTTGAAGTTCCACATGTTATTGATGTTAATATATGTTTTGTAGAAAGTTGATGAACGATGGATTGTTTTCAACGGTGGTTAAACAACCCCATACCTTCGCCCAGTGAATTGATTTTGACGTTTTTAACCACTGGCAGTTGTATATGTTTCTTATGAAAATAAGTTCCTTGTTTGCCTACCTAAGGTACATCAGTTGAATATATTTACCAAAATGACAGGGATTGCCCAACTAAAGTCTTATCTTTACGAAGAAAAATTTCTGGCATTTTTGCATTAATTATGTAAATTAAGTCCACCTTAATTTTCTTGAGTCATGTTCAACTTAACTAAACTTTGAAATGGCACAGGTATGTGATCCCCACCACTTGTCATTATGCACTTGTCAATGAGGTAAAAAAAAATTAGACAGAAATTTTGAAAAAATATCCAAACATACATAGTTTGGATAGATATATGTTCAACTACAGATTCCGTTAGTCACTGACAAAAACTAGACTTTAAAAGATTTATCCAGTTGCTTGCATGCACAACTTTTTTTTTACCTCACTGCTCGGATGTCTAATTAATATCCTTCAACGACGTACTCAAATAATACGACGGCCTGTTTTAACAGCCCACTTAACCCCTACCTAGGACCCGGGGCGGGGGGGGCTAAAAGTGCCCGCGGCAACTTTGATGTCACCTAGCGTCTGAACGGTTAGCCGTAGAACGGCCAAACTTGGTGACTTTTCCTAAAATATTGTTGGCAACAATTATTTATCATTGGAATAAGATAATAATTTTTGTGTTGCCATGGCAACGGGTTTCTGACAGGCATTTTTTGCTAAATTTAGTACTTTTGGTTTCAACAATAGAATTTTATGGGTTTTATGTCAAGTTACTCGTGATTTCTAATATTAATAACATCCCATATAATTTTATGTACATTTTATCATTAAATATGCATAATTTATGCTAATTTGATGACGTCATTGGCCAAAATCCAAGATGGCGGACCATATCATTAGAACAGGTATATACAGGTTATTTTCATTAAAATTTCATCAATACTTCCATTTCTTTTTCAAAAAAAGGTTTAAATGAAGGTCTTTAGTATGTTTACAATGTATTTTAGGCTTTATCTGGATAAAAAAAATATTTTTGAAAATTCAAGATTCATGATCCAAGATGGCGGATATCTTAAATATGCATGACGTCATTTTATGACGTCACCGGTGTTGCTATGGGCAACATAAGACTTAGTACACCATAATATTCTGTCATAAACACTTTTGGTACAGTTATGTTGAATACCATTTAGTTTTCAGGGTAAAAACCTATTTAGACGGTTTTGGCCAATAAAATCACATTAAAGACGTCGTAATGACGTCATATTACGTCATAACGACATAAAAATTGTAGATATGATAAATTTTTAATAGTAATCCATTCTCTGAAAATTTGGTGGTCATACGACATACCGTTCGCGAGTTCTTAGGGGGGGGTG